CTATCAGGGTAGTGATAGTACGGAAAAATAAAGAAATCACACATTTCTCAAATATTTCTCATACATTAATTTTTATACACACATTTTTACCTCACACTTCTTTCACCCACACATTACGAAGTTTTATTTTTAAGTAACCCTTTTAAACTAGTGCCTGTTGCAGTTTGATTTTCAAACGTGTTTGGTAAGAACGCGGCCCAGTAGTTAGCGTGTAAGATAGTGGAAATGTGGTGACATGGTTCACGTTCCATTACTGCCAAATACAAAGCAAAACAAACATCGTGCTCAGCAGTCTGGGACCGTGGGTGCATTATATGAGTAACTATCAAATCCCACTATTCCGTCTGAAAAGAGTAGCCCTAGAGAGTTGCCGATGCGTAGTGTTGACTAACTAACTGTCTTCCCTCTAGTCTGACAACTAGCGACGGCTAACGTTGTGCACTTTTGTACACAACGCGACAAAGCAAACAAACAAAACAAATGTGGTTGCACTTATTTCCATTAAAGCTGCTCTTACAAAATATTATGTCTTTGTCTGCGAGAGAAAGTTATGCTTTGGTTATTTTTAAATGGATATAAGTTATAAAATGATTAATTCTAATATTCTTGGTATCAATATAACCAGAACAATGTTTTTCAAAACGAAAAGTAATTAATGCTGGCCAAGTCAAATCCTTCTCTACTGCACACGGTGATGTTTTGTTATATTTTTTTCTTACCGAAGTCTGAATGAACGACGAGGAACAGAAAATGTATTTGTTCATAGTAAAGCAGTTATTGTAGTTTAATTACATTAACTGTACTAGTTCTAAAATGTGAACGTTTTTCTGATAAGAATTCTTACTATTATTATGTTATAGGCGATATTCAATGTTAATTATCAAACGAGTTCGGCAACGGGATGGCGGCTGGTATAAATGTCGAGCATCGAGTGTCTTGTCCCCACCAGCTGACAGCATGACTGAAGTTATTGTCCAGACGAAAAGGCCCAAGAATCTACCCAAACAGAGGAATAGTACGTATATATATGTGTGTGTGTGTATGTGAATTATATAGTTTGCTGCATATGTAAATTTTCTACTTTAGGTTCTGAAAGAAGGCATGTTTTTCGTGGCAGTTGAACTTTGAGTATACATATAAAGAATATACAGCTTGTCAACTGTTTGAAAAGTGCACATAACACAATGCTTACAGACAGATTTATTTGGTTATTTTTTGTTTTCCTATAATGTACAACAAAGCTCCACTAATTTCAAATGAAAATCACCAATACAGCTAATTTAATATTATGATATTTACTTTCTTCATTATTGAATACTCTTTTTAAGTTGTTTTCTCTCACTAATTTTGTTACCAGAATAAAAATACATATAATAGTCAAAAGTCTTAATAGGTAAGGACAAGTTTGTTGCATTCTATTTGTAGCTACGCCCCTCATAACTCTGTTTGATTTAAAATCTGACTGACCTAATAATAAGTCTCATGTTTTTGTCTCATGTTGATGTGTAGTGATGGACTGTAGCTAGATAGCTTTAGAAGAACGCTGTATATCTACCATACACCTGATTATTGTCTCATGTTGATGTGTAG